TCTTCGCAAATAAGTAGGGGGGCTTCTACGAGCAAGGTATTATGAAGTTGCCGTCTAGATGGAAACAGATCATCGAACAAAACGGCGTATATTTTAACTAAATCCGATCACTGTAACACTTTTTATAAAGCATTGAATGAAGAGCAAAAAGGCGGAAGGGAGATATTTGACAACTTTTATTTATTTATTTATATATTTATTATTATTATTATTATGTAAGATTAAAAAATTAAAAAAATAAATAAAATAAAATAAATTTAAATTGATATGTAATTGATTTTAAATTAAATTAAATTAAAATGATTTCTAAACAAAATATGAAAATAAATTAAACCAAATGATAGAAGCGCCTAAATTAAAAAATCAATTAATTAATATTATCACATAAGTCGTTTATGAATAAAGCCAAACGCAGCTGCGAGATTTGCTCACTGTCGATTCGCTTATAAAACTATGAATGATACCGTATAATAAATAATTCAGTCCAAAAAATTTGTGCTGTGCCACAGAAGTTTGGTGCATGAGAGGGTTAAAAAGCCAAGAGCCTAACTCGAAGCTAGAATTTACAAAAACATAATTGATGGAGCTCAAGTTAGCTACTCCAGTTAAATTTTAAGTGACAGTTAAGATCAATGACTTTCAACGACTTACACATCCGCATAAGTTCTGCGGGGATACCAAATTCAGACATAGCGGCGTAAAGGCAGCACCTTCTCGTGCTGTCGAAGGCGACTTTAAAATCGACGAAGAGGTCATGTGGATCGATCCTCTTTTTACGGATGTTTTCCAATATTTGGCGCATTGTGAATATCTGGTCAATGGTTGACTTACCAGGGTTGAAGACACACTGATAAGGTCCAATCAGTTTGTTCTCGCTCGATAGGACCTTATAGGCGATACTAAGAAGGCTTATTCCACGGTAATTGGCACAGACTGTGGGGTCCCCTTTTTGAAGGATTGTGCAGTGCACACTTAAATTCCAATCGTCGAGCATACTTTCGTCCGACCATATTCGGCAAAGTAGCTGATGCATGCACATTGTCAGCTCTTCACCGCCATGTTTGAATAGTTCTGCCGGTATACCGTCAGCTCCCGCCGCTTTGTAGTTTTTTAAGCGAGCGATTGCTATTCGAAGTTCTTTATGGTCAGGTAATGGAATGTCTTTTCCATCGTTATCGATTAAGGTTTTGGGTTCACCATATCCGGATTCTCAATTTTCACTACTATTCAACAGGTTGGAGAAGTGTTCCCTCCATAAATTCAATATACTCTGCGCATCGGTGGCTAAATCACCTCTTTGTGTCCTACAAGAGTCTGCTCCGGTTTTGAAACCTTCTGTAAGTCGTCGTATCTTCTCGTAGAATTTTCGTACATTACCCATGTCAGCCAGCTTCTCAAGCTCTGCAACTCTTATAGTTTTCTCAAGCACAAAATTGGAAATATGGCTCGATAAAAGGTCACCCTGTCTGAAACCTCGTTTGGTACCGAACGACTCGGAAAAGTCCTAACTGATCTTGACGGTGCTTATAGTGTTGCTTAACGTCAGTTTACATAGCCGTATAAGTTTTTCGGTGGGTGGTGGGTGTCGATACTCTTTTCACGGGCCTTTACCAAGATTTGGCGCATGGTGAATACCTGGTCAATGAAGCTAATGCATGAACCTGATCAGTTCTTCACCGCCGTATTTGAATACTCCGGCCGGTAATACATCTGACCCCGCCATCCATCGTCATCAATCGGAGTAAGAAGTAATCCCTCTTTAGATAAAGTATACTCTGGACATCCGTCACTAGATTACCTTCTGTAAGACGTCATATCTTCTAATAGAAATTTCTTTCATTAACGTTGTCCGCCAGCTTCTCTAGCTCCTCATACTCATGCATCTCGGCATCTTTCTTTTTTGCAGACGTGTCTTACTTTCCTCTTCAATTCACGGCATCTATCCAACCCAGCATGCGTTGTGGTCGATCGCAGTCTTCATCGTAGCAGCTGTTTTTGCAGCCTTTGCAGTTTGAAATTCCATCCAACAGTTCCCGTATGCCGAGTTTTTGATTAGCGTTCTCAGAGAGGAGGTATGCAAGTCGAGTAGAAACCGGTTTGACGGTCTGTTGCGATTGCAGCTTTTCGACGTAGAACCCTCTTTGTTGTTGCTGACGGACATCCTTTGATGTACAGAGGCCGGTACATATATTCGCTGCGACAAGAGAGTGATCCGAATCGATGTTGGGTCCTCGGAGTAAACGCACTTTAAGAACACTAGAGACAAGTGGCTTGGTGATTTTTTTTGTGTTGGAATCTAGTGCTACAGACAACCATATTTCGGGACCTGGCGAAGTTGATCAGTCTCCACCTATAAGGGGATGTTTCATTGTGGAGGCTGAATTTTTCGACAGTTGTACCAAATAGTACCATAAGTACCTTCTTTGTGAACCCTGGCATTAAAATCGGCAAGCAAACTTTCACATTATGGAGGGGCTGGCGGGGAGCACACTATAGGCACTCAGAAAAGTTTTATTTGGCGAAAAATGAAATCTTCATTCTCTTCTGTCTGGGCGCGGGCGCAAATCAACGGATTAAAGCGAAAGGTTCATCTACCCATCTGGTGGATGTATGCCAGTACTCGGAGTCTCTCTCTCACCACAAATCCGACACCAAATTTGCGCTTTGTTTCACATGAACCTACCTCCTTCCGTCCTTATCCTGCCCATCGCACTTTCTGGGCGGCGATAATGTCAACATTTATTCCTGCAAGAGCATCTACCAGCTGAGCAGCGGCACCAAACATTTAAGGGACCGGACATTTCAGGTGCATGCCATAAAATTTGAGCCCGATTTGAATGCAAAAAAAAAATATTTCAAAATAAATAAAATCAAAAATGTAAAATCTCACTAATATAAATTAATAATATAAAGTAAAATAAAATAAAAAAGCTAAAATTTAAATAAATAAAATTACTCAAAGTAAAATTAAAGGAAAAAATATATAAAATAATAATAAAAAAATAATGACAAATAAATTAAATACATCTAATGAAGTTAAATGAAATAAAATTGAAAAAAAAAAAATAATAAATAAAAAATATATATACTCGTACACACAAAACTAAAAAATGTTACGTCATAAATGTCGCACTTTGTTCGGTAAAAACCTATGGAGTTGGAATATGAAAGCTTTGAAATTGCTTAATTTAAAACTTTAAAGCCAAAACGTATAAACTTTGACATGAAGTTTTACGCTCATATTACGGTAATATTTAGCTTATATATATATATATATATGTAAATAGCTGAAATGTATGCAGCAGCACTTCCGCTGACTTTTCCATCATATTTTAGCCATTTGTTATTTACATAGTTAAATTGCATCGTAAATATTTATGTGACAAACAAAAACAAACAACAAATGCATAAACACAATTTAGACTAGTAAATACATACATACGAGTATGTGCATTCGCAAAATGAATATTTACATGTCCCTACAATATGTACACGAGAATGTTGCTTATTAAACTAAAAGCTTTCAGTGCTGGAGCTGGAAAGTTTACAGCCTTGTAAGATGAAAAATGGCAAGTCGCAATAGATTTGAGTGAAATATTATGTTGCCATTCTCACAAGCGAACATAAAATTTGTTAACATTAAATGAATACCAACAGCGACGTCGACGCCACTGACTATTATGGCTGAATGTTACAAATGGACCAGAGCACTAGGCATTGCAATTTGTTAGGTATGAAGCAGTGTTAAAATCTTTGAAAATTGCTTTAAGCACTAAAAATCATACTTGTTTGCTTAAATAATTTCATAAAAAAAGGAAAAAAAAATTTACAAAATATAAAAAAAACTTAACTAACACGATAATTAATTTTAAAAACATGAGATGATTTTTTTTTGCATTTTTTTTCGACACTTTTCACCAACTTTCTTTTGCTCTACTTGATTTTTAATATTTCAATCCCTTGAGCAACTGATGCTAGTGAAGTCCGTGTCCATCCGTCAATTTATTGTCTTAGTAAAAAGTAATCCATTTGGTTTTGCATTAGGTTGGAAGCTTTATTTACCGCAGTTAAAATTATGCGATTTATGCTCTATGTCTTTTTGAAATTTTAAAGTTAATATCCTTATGCCTCTCTCATAAAAGCTCTTGGCGATAGGGTCGGCAGACAATTGGGACAATCGATTTATATGGGTTTCATTTTAGGCCATTTCTTCACAAGCCAAATCATTCGCCATGGACAGGTACAGATGGAAATCACTAGACGTGAGTTTCGCACTGTAAGCTGGATGCTTCAGGAGCTAGAGAGGTCATAAGCTATGCTGCTCCAACCTGTACAAAAAGCAGTTGACGAAGCTACAATCCTACTAAAATACCATCCTTAGGACGGTGACAGCAAACCTTCTGATGCCACCATAGCATCAATTGCACAGCGGCGCATTTATACTATGATGTCAGGAGCACAATTCTTTGCTGTGCAAGCAATTTCTGCTACCGCAAGAAACAGCCCAACAGACACTTATTAGAATCTTACCTAAGGGACTGCGTTCAGTAACATCTTCAACAACTGCTGGACCGGTCCGCTTACCAATAGGTATTAAACTTCAC